AATGAAGGGATGTTTAGTGCATTTGCAATGGCCGACTGATCTGCTCCAGGTTTTCCTTCCAGTCGATCCAGGGAGAAGAAATAAATCAACTGCCAAGGAGAATATCCACTCTGATTTACTCCTGGCATAAGTATATATCCCCAGTTTGTAACTGACCATTTACATATATATCAATTCTGCAGTTACATAAAGTCTATAGTTTAAGCATTGAATTATTTCATTTTATATTAGATTTATACTCTCAGTTGAATTACATGGTTAATTCTTATGGGGTAAAATTATTATGATAGACATAATTTCACATATAAAATTATATGTGAGAAAACATAGCATTGTATCCACTTTCATTACTAAAATTAAAAACATAAATTTTGCAAATGCTCTGGAGTGGTAAGACACAATACCTAACCCAGAGGGAATCGACAGATTCATTGTTAGAAGTAAAATTAATATGGTAGAAAAGAACATAGATTAAAAGTGGAATGTTAAAGTATAGAAAAACAACCAAACACTAAATAAAACGAGTGAAACTTTTGTGATATTCAGAATGTAGTCTGGTTCAAGCCACGATAAAAATTAAAGGGCTCTTAAAGTGAAATATGCAAACCACCTTCTCTTAGCAAACTCATCAACCAAGTTCCATAAGAAATCAGAGAATTACAGGCTTGGAAATATCATTGTTCAATAGATAAGGAAACCAAAGTCCTATCAGAAAGGACTAGAGGATACAGAAAATCAGCCCAACTGGAACCAAATGGTTCTTGTACAACCTCTCAAATAAAGCAGCTTAGGTCAAGCACAGTAGGATGTGCCTGTAAGTCCTAGTTCTTTGGGAGGCTGATGCAGGAAGAATGCTTGAGCTTGAATTTAGGAGTCTGAGAGCAGACTAGGAAACAGTGACAGAGAGGGGTGGAGGGAAGGAGTGGGGAGGGAAGGAAAGAAAATACAAGAATATTGTCAGGGCTTGCTGTGCAGCTCAGTGGTAGAACATGTTGAGTTAACAAGCACATGGTATTCAGTTCCATATCGACACCTGAAACATGATAGCAACTTGGTTTTATTCTTTTCCTCCAGTAGAAGACATGGTCTTTCCATCTCAGGAAGTTTTATATTAAAATAGGTATAGAAAACTTTGGGAAGTATGTGCAAGTTTGTAAAATACATTCTTGGGTTCTGTGGTTGTTTCTGAGGTTGTGAGAATGGATTAATCCAGTGAATGGATTAGGAAGGGGCTGAAATGAAAGCAAGGTGTGCAGTGTCCAAGGCAGTAGAGACACAGAAAAGAGAAAGGAAGAGGGCAGAGGGGGAGTGTCCAGTGGGCAGGGGCAACAGCTCAGCGAGTTTTGACAGCGTTATTGTCAGGGCTGATGTTCAGGAGTTAACCTGAATTATTGGCTTACTCTGAAAGCCTGATTGACTCTCTGAATACTGTTCACGGTTCATTCATTCAAGAACTGATGCCTTTGAGCTGGTGCTGTTTATCAGGTAACATACAGAACATTCTGCCAAGGAAGAATGAAGAAAGTTTAACCACAGTAACAGAAACCAGAGCAGATAATGTTTAGGTCTTAAGAAAATTAAATCAACAGGCCATTCTCCGCCCACCCCACCAGAGTTGCTCTCTTCACTTTGAACAGAGGGCATTGAATTTCTGTCTGTCTTTTATTGTGGGGTTTGTAATCAACACTGGATTTCTTATAATAGAAAGTTCTTGATCGGTGAAGAAGATGTTTTGAAATTTAAATCTGACCTCTCCACTTCCTACTTGAGACACCCTGCAAAAAGGAAAATTCTTTTTATGTCACAGGCGTAAAATTACTTAAGATGAATGGTGACCTACCAGTGACTCTGACACAGCATTTATTCTTAAAAATAAGGTTACACGATAACAGGTCACAATAAAAAATATGGCATATTTATATCAGACTGTCAGACCCAAGTTATCCCTCATATGTGATATAATTACTTCAAAAATTGTTTACCTTTTTCATATAAGTAGAAGGCATGATATTACAAAAAGAGTAGGTTTATTTTATGTTCATTTGTATGCAAGTTCAAATGGGCTGGCCTTACTGCTTTTGTGAACATGTACTAGTCACAGAGGCCTTGTGGGTTAAGATCTTAGTAGGAAGAAGTCATTCCTTGGAGATGGGACTTCAGATTCACGACTGGAATTGCCCCACCACTAGTATTTTCATCTAGTTTTGCCTGATCTTGATATTGATTCTCAATTTTTAAATATTTGTAGTTCATTATCACTAAAATACAACATTTGAACATGAGAATTGCTGTCACCAGAAGGCATACTGTCAGGTACCTGTTATTTGTGGCTAAAACCACTACCAGGCCTTTGAAGACAAAATATGCTAGAGTTTATTTAAGAGACATGAATATGCTTTTATTATTCATTTTCATTCAGTGGTTGCAAACCAAACTTCAGGAAGATCTATGAATATTCTTTTTCTATCAGCTACATTTCCTAGGAGTGAACTCTTTGCGCAGACTATCCTAATTAACCATTGTAATGCTACCTGATGAAGGAGATGTTCTGATTTTTATAGATTAGGAAATACGTGCTCAAACAACTTAACCAATCATTATAGTCCCTCTTTATTTTTGTAAAAATAGGCATTTTTTTCATCTGTGAAGGAAGTGTGTCTGTATATGCTTAAAATATTCCTGTAATTACGTATTTGTAAAAACTCCAAATATATTTACTGGCTACATCTAAAATAAATTTCTATATAGTCCATCTATACTTTTTTTCATAAACAAAACTTATATTTGAGAGGATACTTGCCTCCAGATGGAGAAATAAATTTAACTTACAGATGGAGAAGCCAGAGGCTTGCAGAAATTGGTGTGCATCTTAGAAGAAAGTTCTAATCAGAGGACCTCATAAATCTAAAAGTTCTTCACTTTGGTCTAAACCATTGGCTTGTGAAACAAGTGTTTTATGTTAAATGTGGTTTTGTGGACAAATGGCTTGCAATTCTGTGATTTTCTGCAAAAGCACTTAAGAGGATATTCACTAAGAATATTCCTACTGTTGCAGATCACAGTAATAGATCAACAAGAGGGATGCCTAGAAAAGTAACATTTTAAAGAACTAGTGCCCAGAAGCCGGGCCTGGTGGTGCACGCCTTTAATCCTAACACCCAGGAGGCAGAGGCAGGTAGATCTCTGTGAGTTCAAGGCCAGCCTGGTCTACATAGCAAGTTCTAGGCCAGCTGGTCTACAGGGAGAACCGGTCTCAAAAAGACAAAAAAAAAAAAAAAAAAAAAAAAAAAAAACCCAAACCCTAGTGTCCAGTAGAAAAGAGGTGTGAATTGAAAGAAGGCAAACACAACAAGATTATTCTAGATGTAGCCAGTAAATATATTTGGAGTTTTTACACTGACATGATCTGTTTATGTGTAGTATTTACACATTAGATGCATGATTCCAATAACTTCATTATTATATTTTCTGTCCATTTGTCAGCTGACTTATGGAAAACAAATAATTGATTTATTATTTAAATATACTACAGTGATAAGGACATAAAAATAACCAAAGATGGTCTTTGCTCTTAAGAGCTGCAGCATATTATGGGAAAGATGTTATTGCAGTAGTGTGGTGAAATAGGAAAGATATATTTTCTTGATCCCAGAGAGTATCTCATGGAAGACCTTCTGGAAGAGAGAACTTCTGACTTAAGTCTCAAAGGGCTGGTAATAGTTGGTTAAAAGGAAAAGGGAAAGATGGAAGAGCCTGCAGGATGCACCATAGACATGCCAAGCACGGGAAACAATGGTGTTCACAGTACAAGTTGTTGGAAAACAGAAATCTTTTTTATTCACACTTTCAATTCTCTGTGATTTTAGTTACCCATAGTCAAACAGGGTCATGAAATATTTCATGGAAATTTCTAGAAATAACTCAGTTTTAAATAACTTTTATTATAGAATAATATTGCAAATGTTCTATTTTATTAGTTATTGTTCATCTTTACTATGACTAACTTATAAATTCTACTTTATTCCAATTTATGAAGGTATAGGAAAAACTCATTTATAACTATATCTATCTATCATCTATCTGTCTATCTATCTATCTATCATCTATCTATCATCTGTATGTAGATATATATGGTTCAATACTCTGAGGTTTGTGGAATCTAGTATCTTGGGACATATGCCCTATAGATAAGAGGTGGTTTCTGGACAATGATGAAGACTAAGGTAGAGAGGTAGACCAGAACTTGTAGGGCTGACTAGATTTTACAGCCCCAGCCAGACTTTATACTTCTAAAAATGACAAGCCTTTGAGGGTTTAGAGTACATAAAGTGACAAGGCAAATTTGGTGTCTTAGTAGATCATCCTAATAGCTATTTGATGATTGGTTTTCAGACGGTCCAGACCAGAGTTGGGTCAGTTTAGAGGGTGTTGTAGAGATACAGACAAGAAATGCTAAGTGTTTAACTCAGTAACTTGATCCTGAGGACTGGATAATGGTGGAGGACTCAAGCAGTGTCTAGGAGATAAAACTTGTCAGACCAACTAAGTATTCCCAAGCAAATGGAAGGGTCAGGTACTCTCAGACTCCAAGCGTGGGGGTGGGCTGGGGATGTGAGAAAGGCCATAAACCTGAAATGAAGATTATAAACAGGAATTGACTAGATAGATGAAGGGCATAGCCTGTTCAACTGTGACAGTGTTTTCTCTTAGAAGACTTCATCAGCACCTGGGTATTTCAGTCTGCAGCTTTAGAAAGGGAATTTGGTGATACATTTGGCACTTGTTAACCTATAGATGTATACAACTGAATGCATAGTTTCCTTTGTGCAGTTCATTTTGCTTCTATTCCCCCTTATAGCTTATAACAGAGATTTATATCTGCAAAAAAAAAGAAAAGTCGTTAATATCATAGCTCCTTGTTGTAACAGCAGAATGATCCCATAGGATAAGAAGTACTGTTGGAAAAGTACAAGTAACCAAATGACTGTCACTTTTTTCAGCTGTCGGTGGAGATGCCTGATCCCAAGGGATCCTGCTGTAGTTGACATCTTTTTTAAGGACCTGGGTCCGTGGCTCTGTCCAGTTCAAAATGGCAGAAAAGGCTCCCCCTGGCTTAAACAGGAAGACGTCAAGGTCCACACTCTCACTTCCTCCAGAGCCTGTGGACATCATCAGGAGCAAAACGTGCTCCCGGAGAGTTAAGATCAACGTGGGGGGCCTCAACCACGAAGTCCTGTGGAGAACTCTGGATAGGCTACCCAGGACACGCTTGGGGAAGCTTCGAGACTGCAACACACATGAGAGTCTCCTAGAGGTGTGCGATGACTACAATCTGAATGAGAACGAGTATTTCTTTGACCGTCACCCTGGAGCCTTCACATCTATTTTAAATTTCTACCGGACAGGGAAGCTCCATATGATGGAAGAAATGTGTGCCCTCTCTTTCGGCCAAGAGCTTGATTACTGGGGGATCGATGAGATCTACTTAGAGTCCTGCTGTCAAGCCAGGTACCATCAGAAGAAAGAGCAAATGAACGAAGAACTGAGGCGAGAGGCAGAGACCATGCGGGAGAGAGAGGGAGAAGAGTTTGACAACACTTGCTGCCCCGAGAAAAGAAAGAAGCTTTGGGACTTGCTGGAGAAGCCTAACTCATCAGTGGCTGCAAAGGTATGAAAAGCTGGTGTTGGGTCATGGGTGTGATCAGGAAAGGTCACGTGCTTATGTTGCACTGAGTGTAATTTTCTTCCTAGCTTCTGTAAGATAGAAATATGGTAGAACAGATCATGGAAACACTCTTTCCTGTATCTTATTCTATCAGAGTCATTCTTCCTTGGGGTGCCATAAAATGGTGTTAGTCCCTGGGAAATATTATCTGTAGGGACTGGTCTGGGAAACAGAAAATTGTTCTGGTTTCTGTGGTCTCGGTGGTGCCTTAAGGTGTGCTGGAAACGGAGAGGGAAAACCCTAAATAAGACTAGTCAGTCACCGTGGATTAAGAAGGTGCTGTTATTTGAAGTAGAGAAGTGCTTCCTGTCCTGGTTCAGTGAAAGTTCAGAGAAAGAGAAGAGAGCACAGCCCTATGTAGCACAGAGGACTGTGGGGTCCTAGGCAAGAGGAGGAGCTGTCTTATATAGTTGTGTAAGGCATGGATCATCTACTTACATGTGGTCTACTCTAATAGTGATGTTTCTAATTGTTAGTACATTTTGTTTTACAATTGGAATATTACCATATCTCAGAGTTTATAAAGTATTTGAGTAAAATGAAGGTAAATTTACATTTTTTACACTGTGCTTGGGTATGTAGCTTAATCTAAGTCCGTTTTCTGTCACAGATTTTTGTTTCAATCAACTGCATGAATCTGCTTGTCTAGTTTTGTCTACAGCTCCCAAGGCAACTGAAAAGTAGTTTCCCTTCCAAGATTTAACCCTGTATTGCAATATAAATGATGAGTAAAAGTTGAGATGTCTTTCTCTGCTGGAGCTTAGTGTTGATGGTTTGAACATAATGGATGGCATGGAGTTGAATGGAGAGTGGAAGAACATCATATGAGTTCTCATTACTCAGGTTTTTCAGATTTCTTTTCTCTTGTAAACACTAACAACCAGAGAAATATAATAAAACATCTGAACCTTTTTATTTTATTATTTTTATTTTTTTGTGTATGAGTGTATTGTCTGCATGTTAGTAAGTGCACCTGTGTCATGCAATGCCGTGGAGGTCAAAAGAGGGCTTCGGATTCCCCTGGTACTGGAGTTAAGGATGGCTCATAGCGGCCATGTGGGTGCTGGGAATCAAACCCAGGTCCTCTTCAAGAGCAGTCAGTGCTCCTAACCACTGAGCAATCTCTCCAGCCCCAAAACATCTGAACCTTTTAACCAGAAATAAAGATCCTACATGATCATCTGCAACATAAATGATAAAAACATCTGATTGGATGATTGCTGCTTTGTGGACTGCTTGGTTTGTCTGGGTTGGTTTCTGGTTGCTGCTAAAGGCAATTCACTATCGGGCCAGGATGATCACCTGCATGAGCAATGTGTGTTTCTCTTGTACATAGTGAAGAAACACATATTTTGTAACAAATAGAAGATTTCAACTAGCTTATTCTTTTCCTTTGTGTGGTTATGAACACTTGGTTTGTTCTTGTTCAACTGGTAAGTAGGAAGTAGATGTATCATGCATGTGGACTTTAGTCAGAAAAATCTATTGCTTTTCCTAGGTCAAGTTTTCAGTTAAATATTTGAGTTGCTACTAAAAATATGGTGAGATAGACTCTAGACTTGAGTGTTGTGAGAGTTAAATTAACTTTTGAAAAAGACTTTTGAAAATGGAGGAATAAATCACTGTTCCATTGAAAGTTCTAGAATAATTTTAAATGACTTCTAAAAATAAGCAGGTAAATCAAAGAAAATTTGAAAGTTAATATGATTTCTTTTTTCATATCAAGATTATTGATATATACCCAAAGTGAATTACTTGTATAGAAAAGTGTTTTGTGTATGTATTTTGGTTCCTGAAGATATTCTTTTACAGCTGGAATAGGGTCAGTAATATGCTTTCCAAATAAAAAATAATTCCACTTCTGCATTTTACAAACAGCAATTATTCTTTGATGTCTAAGAAAATAATGCTGACAATGGCTCAGTATAATATATCATTATTTACCCTGTGCATCAGAAGATTACTTAAGCTTGCTTTGTACAGATAAGGTTTGTTATCTGGAAGCTAGGACACTATCTTTCAAATTTTTATGTAATTATAAACAGTAAATTTATCTCCATATTATCAGTGAGGCTAAGTGAATCCTTGCTACCCTAAGAAGATTCACAAAGCATTTATATTTATTTCAATCTCAACATTTTCTTCTCTGATTCATTGTAAAATATTATGGAATTTTATGTTGACTAGTTGATTATAAAGTAGTTTCCTGAAAACTTTACTCTTTTTTCTGAGATTTGAAGCTTTTTAAACTTACCTGTGTATGAAGTCCATGTCAACCACTTCCTCTTCTGCATGCCCAGAGTAATTCTAGGTAAGGGGAGTGCTAAGGCAGGCATGGGTGAATAGTTTTATTACATCTGTCATGGCATGATTCTTCAGTCCTGACTGTGTATTTGTTATGGATGCATCAGGCTCCTACATATGCATGAAACTCTGAGCAGCTGGAATTTCTGTGTTCTTTAACACTAGGCTAGTAGGTCTGAAATCTCTGGGGGCAGAATATCTGTTTACCTTGCCTTTCCAAGTATTGCTTATACACTAAGTTGAACATGTTCCATGTAGGCTCTACTCATTAAAGTAGAAACTTAGGAAGACATCACTTCTTCCCAGAACTTAAAGTGTTATTTTATCTCGGGGATTTCATATCATTGTAAATTCTTATTTTTCCCCTCTTTTGTTTTTCCTGCATTTTCTAATTTATCTGTACTATTTCTGTAATAAAAGCAAAATGTAGCTGGATATGATGGTACATGCCTGTGATGCCAGCACTTACAAGGAAGAGGCAGGAAGATTGCCATGAGTTAAAAGTCAGTCTAGATTACCCATTGAGTTCCAGGATGGCCTAGGATACATAGTGTGACCTTGCCTCCAAAACAAAAAGTATGGAAGTTGATAGATTATTTAACATTCCAAGCGTATTCCTAGTATAAAGGAAAACCTTTCTCTCGGATGTTTCATACTAGGCTAAAATATCTACTCATTGATACTGAGTGAATATTCAATGATTGAGTAGCTATTGTTCAGCCCATGCTGTATGCATCCAGAATGATACACACAATGGCCACAATGCCTATTGACCTGCTGTACTTTATATTTGGATGTGATCCTGATAGCAACTATTTGACCCTTAAATAAGAAGCTCCTCAGTGTCATATAAATAGCTACTTTACTGACTGTACTTTCTGTTGTATTAAGTACTTTTAAAAAAAGAAAAAACAAGGCATAAGAACATGACACATTTGAAATATCAATATTTAACAAATTAGCTTTTCTGTATGGACACAGAAGCACATGAAATATAATCAGACTTTTCACAAAATATCAAAGGACTGGAAGTACATGTCCCTGCATAGGACTCCTATATTAAACCTCACCCACCCATGTCTCCGGGACTGCCAGGGGTTTGAACCAGCGACCCCCGGGCAGTGATGATTGGGGATGAGTAAGCACGCCGTTCGCCAGCCCATGCTGCCCCCAGTACCAGGGACACTCAGACACAATGGGGAGTCTAGTCAAGCAGGGACTCATTTATTGCAGGTATTACAGAGCTTATAAAGGCACCTGGAAATCTGCCCCCCCCCCAGGGTGTATCTTAAGGATGGTCATGCGCTGATCATGCACTCCTCAGCAGTACAGAAGTATCCTTCAGACTTTCAAAGCAAGCCAGGCCGCACCCCCAGTAACTTCCTTCTGGACCTATGCAAGGTGGAGCCTTTAGGTCCCCACAAAACCTCACCAACCCATGTCTCAGGGACTATTGTGGAAGAGGGGGCAAACAGATTGTAAGAGCCAGGGTTCGTTCATGAGCATAAGGAAACAGAGGCTTTCAGGCCTCTAAGTACTTGCTCAAATGAACTTGCAACAATGGTGACAGCATGCACCAAGACCCATGCTGATTCATTCAGACAAAAACCCAACAGAGAACTAGGGAAATGGGCAGCAGGCCCAAACCTTCACCAAGGAACTACTGGAAAATGATTATTGCGGGGTGAGAGAGGGATGATCTTCTTTAAGAGAGTTACTCTAGATAGGCTGACTAGACTCCAGTGGATGAACTTGCACAGAGTGACATCTGGGTACAAGTGCTTGACCACATATGACTTAACATATATGACAGAATGCATGAAATCTGCTGGGAGGGTCTATGGGGGTTTGTGAATGGGGGAGGGAGTCTAAATTTGATTAATATCTATTATATGAAATGCACAAGAACAATAAAAATATTTTAAAATATCAAAGGAATAATAGAAATGGTATCTCTAGGTTTGTATAATGTAGTGGTAGACCTTGTCTAACATGTTGTTTATTATTTCTAGGGTGTGGTATGATATATGCTCTGGTACTGCAACATAAATTTATGTTTGCTTTGAGTTTGTGTTTCTTCAACCCTATCAGTATACCTTGGTATCTCTACACAACGTCATGTACAGATCATGTCCAGAGTTAAAATTACAGGCTATTCTTGAATGTGTGGTCCAGCCACATGGGCCTGGGAAATGGCTGTGGCAATTCTTTGTGTTACCAATGACAAGAGATTACTGGCTCAGATAACATTTCATAGGACGGGGATGGCCAAGAGATAGGTTTAACTGACAGCCAGTTTCCTAGATAGTAGCTCAGAATTTGATTTGATCTTGTACCTCTTCTAGGCCAGAGCAATTTAGTCAGTCTCTGGATTAGAAACTTTTTTTTTCTGGTCTCTTCTTGACCTTTTCCCAAGGGAGCTGCAATTGCTATCTCCCTGTACATACTGCATGCAGAAACTTCAATCTGAGAGGTGCTTAAAAGATTTGAGAAGCAGCATACTGTACCCTGCAGTTTTCTCAGGCTTGAGATGGAAGAACAGCAACAGCTCAGTTGCTTTAGTGCTGAAGAACTAGACTCACCAAATACAACACTGGGCCACACCCCAGATATCTGAAGAAAATCCCAGAACTAAGGAC